CGCCTCGCACATTTTTTCTGGCAATGCACATGTGTGTGTGCGCGGTGAAGGCTCAGCTGACACCACACAGCCCTCCCAACCAAACTAAGCTAAAGGCCGTGTATCAATACCAAAGACAGTGAAAGCTGGACACTGTGAGGCATCAGGGACGCGCTCGTAAGGGTTTACGTGGCTGCTGTTTCACTTCCCGACTTGAACACCTCTCATACAAAATTTGTTCCCGAAGTTAGCAAGATACAGCAGGGAAGATGCCGAGTGCAGCCCGGGCTCCATCTTCCGCTAGGATCGAGCAAACGACGATTCAGCCAGCAGCGGCCAGACGTGGATTCGACTCATCCAGACCTCCGTGCCGCTTCTTCGTTCTGGTATGTGTGGCCTCGTCGTTGGGTATGAGTGCGTGGGGGCTGGGTGCTGTTGCCATGTACCTGCGCGATAGCGTTCAACACATGCACTGCTGCACTGGAATTCGGTCGGGTGCGAAAAAATTCGAACAGTATCTGCAGCAGTGCACCGCATTCGCAGCATCGCCGAGCACGCAGGACCCCCGACCAAAGTACTGTAGCAGTTTCGGGCAGGCTGAAGCTTTGTTGCCGCACGACCGCCCTCCCCTGTGCAGTGCAATCGATCCTGCACCTGCACCTACAGCAGTCCTGCTTCTCCTCGTGCTGCCTCTTGTCATTTAGGCTTGAGAGAGGAAAGGGGACCAGCGAACCAGCGAAGAGCGAAAAACACGCACGCGCGGAACAACTGGTTCCGCTTCAACTAAATATTCCGTTTTTTTATTCTCGCATGTACTTGTAGCGTATCCCTCACGGAGCTTGTTATCCGAGGAATTGGATTTGTGCTTTTCGTCGTGCGGAGGATCTCGCCGTTAAAACTTGGTGTTGGCTTGACAAGAGTCTCCTAAGAGCGAGGTTTTACAGTAGGAAATGGTCTACAGCAGTACTGCCCTTACACCACTCTACGTGAAGTAGGTTGATTTATCGTCGGCTTCACTGAATATTCGCTGCTTGCTCAAGGCTGTACATCAATTGGGAGAAATAAATAATGATTTAGGCTTTACAGGCTAGTCTGGTGTAGTCCTTCATTGACGCTACGTAGTTACGGCCACCGTTTACGATTCTGGATGTGATCAATGTAGACCGCTGTTAAAGAGACCAACCAGCGAACAAAAGGTAATAAAACGTCCTTGGCGTCCGTTCGCCAGAACTCGTGGACGCTAGACGACGTTGCTAGCCGCAGCTGTGCCGCACCCTTCATCTATCCCAGAAGCAGTAAGCAAATCCATCTCTACCGGTGGACACGAAGAGTCCAGAACAATTCGCGACGGGTCAATGGGGCTAGACACGCCGGCTGTATTTGCACGGAGTGCTCCCGCGAAAACATACTAGACTATGTACCATGTTGGTGAACGCAACATGTGCCCGTGTGTGCTTCTCGGTCCGCCTTGCTCGCAGGGCAAGTGCAAGTTCGGAGACTCCTGCACGTTTTCGCACGACCAGCGGGACGGGAGGCTGCCGGTGTGCAGCTTCTTCGAGAAGAACGGCAGCTGCCGTTACGGCGACGATTGCATGTTCCTTCATGGCAACGGCGGCAGCAACGGCGAGGAGCGGCCTGCTTCGACATCGACAACTACCATCCTTCAGGCGGCCGCGGCCGGCGGCAGCGGCAGCGGCGGAGCAGGAGCAGGAGCAGCATCAGCACAGCAACAACAGGAAGCGACAGCCCCCGCGGGTGCTAAGAGCCCCACGCCGGTAGCTGGTGGAGCTCGCAGCGGTGATGATGCTGCTGCTGCTGCTGCGGCGGCAGTGGCCGGCGAGGAGTCGCTGGCGGATTCCACTGAGGACACGTGCGGGATATGCTTGGAGAACATTCCCGCCAAGGGGAAGCGCTTCGGCCTGCTCAACTGCGACCACGTGTACTGCCTCGGTGAGAGACAGAGCCTGGTGGTCGGCTGATAGTTATAATTGGTGTGTGGTCAAACTAGGGTTGCATGCATATGTATCAGTTTGTTGCCACCATGCAGCTGACGAGATGGAACGCACCATCTTTTCCTTCCCATCGAACAAAAAAAACTCATTATCTGAATGCCTGAAGCGCCCGATAGTTCTCTAGACTGTAAATCTTCGTCGGAGGCAGTGTAGCACAAGAAAGGTCAAGGCTTCACCATGGCAGGGTGCTCTCCAGGTTGTGTTTTTTGTCGAGATGAATTTGTTGTAGAACGTAGTTTACCTGTCAACCTCGCTGTTCCCTGTCAGGTGCGGCAGGCTGGTCGGCTGGTATTTGTTGGCGCTGAAAGTTGGTCATATATGTTCGGTGGGAGTGCTCAGCAGAGTGGTGGTCTTAGTGGGGCCCGGAGGGGTTACGTGGATGATACGGGTATGATAGACATGGCGCACGGGGCACCTGTTGCCTCCCTCATATCTGCGACTCGTTAATGAGAGAAGGTCTTTGAGTGTCAACTTCTGTCCTCGCCCGGCCTCTGAGGAACCTGTTGCACCCAAACACAATATATCAATCCATGGATATATCGTTGATACATCTTGCATGCGTACAGCGACTTCGTCAGAAGCCGAACGAGAATTAAGGTTGACTCGGGACCTTGCATCAGCAAAAAGTGAAGACATGAGGGAGGCAAGAGGGAGCCAGCGCGTCATGTCCATCATACCCATATCACCCACGTATCCCCCCCCCGGAGCCCCCGTAGACCAGTACTCTGCCGAGCATCCCCAAACATGTCAATTCAGAATTCATTTGATGCAAGCAGAAGGCGCGGATTGCACTTGACGCTCCCCCCCTCGGTGGTGTTTGCCATCGGGGTTGGGTTTTCGTCGCTTGGCAACGACGTTGTAAAACAAGCCGNTATGATAGACATGGCGCACGGGGCACCTGTTGCCTCCCTCATATCTGCGACTCGTTAATGAGAGAAGGTCTTTGAGTGTCAACTTCTGTCCTCGCCCGGCCTCTGAGGAACCTGTTGCACCCAAACACAATATATCAATCCATGGATATATCGTTGATACATCTTGCATGCGTACAGCGACTTCGTCAGAAGCCGAACGAGAATTAAGGTTGACTCGGGACCTTGCATCAGCAAAAAGTGAAGACATGAGGGAGGCAAGAGGGAGCCAGCGCGTCATGTCCATCATACCCATATCACCCACGTATCCCCCCCCCGGAGCCCCCGTAGGCCAGTACTCTGCCGAGCATCCCCAAACATGTCAATTCAGAAGTCATTTGATGCAAGCAGAAGGCGCGGATTGCACTTGGCGCTCTTCAAGCGACCTTCACAGGTAGAAACATCAATCGCTGCGGACCCGGGCTACGTGTACAACTACCTGCTTCTACACGTGTGTCAGACACAGTTACAAATACGCTGTGTCCCCCCCCCCCCCCCCCCCCCCCCCCCNNCCCCCCCCGCCCACATGACCCCCCGTGCTCCCAATGCTCACAGAATGCCTCCGTACGTGGCGCAAGAGCAAAGGTCCCCAGAAGGATATCAGCCGCACGTGCCCCGAGTGCCGCAAAGTGTCGTTCTTCCTCGTGCCGTCGAAGGAACACCTCAAGGGGAAGGCCAAGCTGAAGGCCATCCAGGCCTACAAGCAGGGGCTGTCCAAGCTCCCGTGCAAGTGAGAGAGAGACACACACACATACAGGCAGACGAGACACAACGGGCAGAGAGAGATGGAGAGAGAGACACGGAGAAGGACAGACGACAGAAATCTCGATGAAGTCAATGGCTTTTGTGCTCCATGATGAAGTCCCCCCCCCTGCCTTGGCGTCCCCGTAGCCCGTAGGCAACGCGTGTTTCGTGCATGCATGCCACTCTCTGTCTCAAGTCTTCCCTCGGCCCCTCTTAAACCTTACCCTCTCCTTTTTTACTCTGTCCTGTACGTCTCTCCTGCCCCCCTCCCCCAGGTACCACAAGCCAGGCAACGCTTCCGGCGGCGGAACTACCACCGTATGCCCGTTCGGCTCGCGCTGCTTCTACGCCCACCTCGACGAGCACGGCAACGACGTAAAGGACCGCGCGACGCCCGCCGCACCCGCGCCTTTGCGCCGCACTTGCCCGTACCTAAGGGCCGGCGGAGGCGGCGGTGGCAGCGCCGGGGCCAGTCGGGGTGGCGGGGCGAACAGGGGCGGCGGTAGGAGTGGCGGCCGTGGCGGAACGGGAGCAGGGGAACGCGCTGGGCATGGTCACGGAGCCAGTGGTCGTGTGTTCAGCGATATCCATGTGCTGTACCCCTTCGGCGGAGATGGTGAGTTGTTGGCTAGGCCGAGGGGGGGAGGGGGGTCTGCGAGGTGTCGTGTGATGTCAATCTCGGGCACGTTGAGTTTTTGTTGTGGTTGGCGAGTGCGACTGCTGTCCTCGTCGACCCCGCTGACGACCAGTTGTCTTTCGCGTGTTTTCTCTCGCACTTTGCTCTTTCTCATCACCACCTACGTACCCACCGAACGCTGCCTGGCTGATCGTCCGTCCCTAGCATTGGGTGGGTGGTAAACTTGTCAAATCAACCACGGGCGATACCAGTGGCGGCGGTGGCTTGATGTTCCTTCGTTGTTCGGCTCGCGGTTGCGTCCAAACCCAGGCACCGCGGCGCGCTTCGCCCCAGACATCATGATGGGCTCACACGGCAGCAGGCAGCACATGTCGGTCATCATGCGCCTTCAGCAGCTTATGCTTGACGCTGCCGCCGAAGACCTCTAAGCTTATCTCGGGAAGAAGTGAAGACCTGACACGTACGCAATATACCAGTCTTCGGGTTCCTTCTCATGCTACTTTTGGGATATAGGGAGTATTTTGCTTGTTGACGACAGCATTTCCCATCAAGTTTGAACGGTCTTCCCCGAGGGGAGTTAATTGTGAGGGGGAGAGCAGGAGGGGAGGAAATGGTTCGTCACCCGTGCGCACGGGGACAGAAATGGGAAAAGAAGGGGGCGACGGTGACTGTACCGGGGGGGGGGGGTCGGTGTTTCATTTTTTTGTTTTTCCGTGCTTACTTTGGCCGTGTTTCCTTTTGGGTTAAGCCGTCAGAGGTCGTTGTTATCCCCGCTGATGTCCGCATCATACACGTATGATAGCAAAACAACGAAGGGTACCCGCCCGTGTGTTTTGTGAGAATATTCTTCTGCTGTGCCTTTTCTACGCCTTGTGTCCGGTCGAGCGCAAGGACACGCCGCGAATCTGCGTGGCTTCTTTGTACATGTCAAGTGATTGGTTGTTTTTATAAGGACCTGCGCATGTGCTTGTAGTGACTGCTGTTTGCTCGTGCTGTAAGGGCGGCTTGCACACAGCGGTGACGTCGCATTTTACCCGCTTTTCCCTTCGCGTTTTGCTTTTGTTGGACGATTGGTTTTGATCGAGCTGGTGGGAACAACAGAGAGTCGCCTATTTTGGGAAGGAGGGAGAGGTGAGAAAAGATATGCAGTCCATAACCGGGACGACTCTTAGATCGAGGGCGAGCTACGCGACGCGGTTCATATAGTTCGGTTTCTGCCGCTGCTGCGGTGTGGGGGTTCGAGAGTCCCCTCGTTGAAAGCAGTGCCAGCATCGTCGCAGCGCGGAGTGCACCACACCGCCCGTTGGAATAGGCAGCGGTTGTTGTCGCCCCCAGACAATGGTCAGAGGGTGTTCTTATGTCTTTTGGAGAGAGCAGGTAGGATGGGTCCGAGTCGTTGCGCAAGGGGTGGAAGGGGAGCGGCGGGCGTTGAGGGGTGTTTTGTTTTTGTGCCGTTTGATAGATCAGGCAGGGTGGGTCTCAGCCGTTGCGCAGGGAGCGGAGGGAGAAGGGCTGGCGCTGTGAAGTAAATGTTTTTTTTTGTGTCGTTTGAGAGAGCAGGTAGGATTGAGTCTGAGCTGTTGGTTGATTCGAGTGCCACTGCAGCGCCGGTTCGCTCGTTCAATATCAGCGTACGGTACTTACCGCAAACCTTGGCGAGCTGAATTCCAGCAGAATGAGCAGGCGTATTGAGTTGCAGCTTCGTCTTGATAACTTATGTTAGCAGTATTCCAATGGGAGCACGTTTCGTTGTTGTATGCACAAGGGTAGGAGCGGGAACGAAAGCCGCGATCGCGCTGCTGCGATGTACGTTTTAGATTAAACAGCTTGCGCGAATATCTGCGTCTCGTGTCGGGTACAGACGGCGTTCCGTTGAGGTTCAAAGTGTGTTGTTCGCTCTTAATGTGGGGTCGATCCACTGCTGCTAGTAATAGGCTGTACGTGTCCATGCATTGGGTGGCCTGGAGTTATTGTGTGTTCGGCGCGCCCGGGGGGGGGGG